TCGCGGAAATCGTCGCCCCTCGCAACCACCAGGGTGTCATCCGCGTAACAGATGACGCTGACACCCCGGATGAGGGAGCAACGCAGGACCCCGTCATAGCCGATGTTCCACAGGAGTGGACCTAACACCGACCCCTGCGGCACACCGCAGCTGACGGGGTGGGAACCCCATCCTTGCCTCCTGGGGAACGTGATGCGTCTCGCCGTGAGATACGACGCAATCACGTCGCGAAGATAGACAGGCACGCCATGATAGCGAAGCCCATCCATAATCGCTTCCCAGGGCAGGGTGTTGAACGCGTTGGCAATGTCCAGCGACACCGCCAAAACAACCCCGCCCTCCGCCACAGTCCCGTCCGACACATCGCGCAATCTCGCGATCGCGTCGATTGTCGACCGCCCCTTCCGAAAGCCAAACTGGCAATCGGACAGGTCTGGCCCCTCCAGAGCCAAGTGCTGCTGGATGCGGGTCGCTACTATACGCTCAAAGAGCTTGCCCGCTTCGTCCAGCAGCACGATCGGCCGATACGCCGAAGGCAAGTCCGGCGGTTTGCCAGGCTTCTGGAGAAGAACCAGCCTTCCCTCCTTCCACAAGTCCGGGAAGACGCGGTTCCGCAGACAAGCCGACAACAGCTTGCGGAACCGCTCGTCGAGGCCGGATTGCAAGGCAAGAGACAGAACCTTCCCGTGCACCCCATCAGGGCCGGGGGCCGTCCTCTTGCCTCGCGTCCTATCCAAGGCCGAGCTGAGCTCGGCCGATGTCACGTCCGGGACCCCCGCGTCCGGGGGAGGGGACGTCGACTGGGGGGGAAGCGAAGCATCCGCATGGGGAAACAAGGCCGACACGACTGAGTTCAGAAGTGCCGGCTCCATGCTGGATGTAAGGGGTGGGGCCCAGGGGCGCAGCTTGCTCATTACGAGCTTGTACGGCCGCCCCCATGGGTCGAGCTCCAAGGTGTTCAGGAGCTCCTCCCACGCCCTTTCCTTCGCCTCCGCGATCTTCATCCTGAGGGCCTTCTTTGCCTCCTGATAGAGGCAATAGAGGCGCCCTTCCTCTTCGGTGTTCCGCGAGGCACGCCGTCTCCTCCTGTACCTGGTGTACTGGCGTCGGGTCACCACACAAGTCGACCGAAGAGCGGCCAACTCCTCCGACCACCAGTACACCTGCCTACGCGGCGGAAGAGGTCGGGACCGAGCCATTGAAGCGTCACAGATACGCTCCAAGGCCGCCCCGAACCACTCCACCTCCTCCCTCACCGAAGAGGACTCCGGCTCTGGACACCAGGTGGCCACTATCGAGGCCACCTCCACCATCTCCCTGTCCAGGGACTTCAGGGCCCAACGAGGGCCCTTCTGCGCCGGAGGGGCGCCAGGCCCGATCGCCGTGGATTGAGAGGAGACACTGAACCGTATGTAACGGTGATCAGACAGCGTCTCCTCCCCGTCCAACACCTCCCAGTCGACGATGCGGCGCGCAAGCCCGGGGCTGGCAAAGGTAAGGTCCACTATGGACCCCCCCTGCATTCGGACGCACGTCTGCGTCGAGCCCCGGTTCACGAGCGCCAGGTTGTGCGCGGCCATCCACTCGACGAGGACGTCGCCACGAATATCTGAGGTTGGGGAACCCCAAACTGCCGACTTGGCATTGAAGTCCCCCGCCACTACCACCTCATTCGGGCGACCCCACGACACGAGGGCGTCTACTTCCGCCAGGAACTCCTCGAACTCCGACAGAGTCCTGTTGGGCGAGAAGTAGACCCCGACAACCACCACGTTGCCGCACTTCGCCGCGACACAACCCTGGCCTCTCCGTGAAGAGACAATTGGGGGAGAGCCAACGGCTCCGGTGACGACTATGGCGACAGTCTCGCCAAAGTCCCCGACCCAATTGTCCCCTTGCTGCACCGCATACGGCTCCGCAAGCACCGCAATGTTAATGGACCACTGCGCCAGGCCCTGGAATAGGAGATCCTGGGCCCTGGCGCAATGGTTCAGGTTCGCCTGGAGGAACCGTAGGGCCATACTAGGCCCCTACGGTCTCGGCAACCTCCATTGCGGTCCCGCTCGGAGGGACGGCGGCCCGCTTCTCCGGGACTCTCCGCCGCATCTTTTTGGTGGGGGCCGAGCACTTGGCACCACCCACCCGATGGGTTGCCTCCTTGCCGGCCGCTGCGCAAACCGCGCAATGCGGACTGGCCGTACAAGAGGCCGCCAAGTGCCCGGGCTGACCGCATCTGTAGCAGAGACCGCTACGATCGCTCGCGCAATCGCAACGGCTTGCCACGTGGCCAGCCTCCAGGCATCGGTAGCAACGCAGTGCCCGGGGTTTTCCCAGAGTCACCCGCGCCGCCACCCATCCCACCAAAAATCGACCCTCCAGGAGCCGTTTCGCAGAGACCACAGGGACATGCGCCCAAACTGCGCCAAGTCCCGTGCGGTCCCGCCTCACGTCTCCGACCCTCACTTGCCAGAGAGGGCACTCGCCCTTTTTCACGATGGCATCGGCCACCTCCTCCTTCGAGACGGAGTCGTCAAGGCCCGAAATTCGGACGTCGACGGCCTTTTGTGGCCGCGACACCTTGACGGCTTCGCCGTCCAGGACCTCCCCGAGCTTTTTCGCGAGAGCGTCGGCCTTGGGGCCGCTCGCGGCTCCGGGGAGTTGGAGGATGGTGGCTCCGGTGGCCGCCTTCCTCACCCTGATGCCATCGAGGCCTGTGACCTCCTTGAGGTCCAGCCTCTCTCTGGCCTTCCTCAGGACCTCACTGTACGAAAGCCCCGCTTTCGTTGCGTCCTCGGTGATGGTCAAAACCACCGCCGAAGACCGAGGCGCCCTGAGTTTCGGCTTTTTCGCCGTTTGAGGGCCGGATGACTTTGCAGGCCCTTTGCCTGCACGCGGTCGTGCCTGCTTTTTCGGAGCCTGACCACCCGCCCTGGATTGGGCAGGCAGACTCCGGGGCTCCTTCTTCCGGGACGTGCGTCCCTTTCTGACCACCGTGACCCAGTTCCCCTCAAGGGAGTCCGGGTTCGGCGGCCTCGATGGTTCAGGGGGAGGTGCCACTGCCTCACCCCTAACCGGAGCCCTCTTCCTCTGCTTCTGCGGCCCCTTCTTCGCTGAAGGGGCGGCAGGTTTGGCGGCTGCTTTGTCAACCGCCAATGGCGGCCGGAGTCGGGGAGCAGGGTTCAGTCGAGGCTCTAAGCCCTCGAACCTGGCGTTCACCCTGTCCCCAATCTTCCGCAGCAACCCTGCCTCGAACTCCTCCAAGCTAGTGGGGAGTTGGGAGGATCGCTGCAGATCCTCCACCCGCCGAGTCAGCTCCTCCATCCTTTCGCGGAGCTTTTGGTTCTCCGCTTGGAGGACCTTTGTCTCCTCAGAGACAGTCCTCTGGATGAGGAGAGCAGAGTTCTCCCTAATTGACGCGACCGCGTCATTGAGGGCGCGGACGAAGGTCCCCTTCAAACTCCCGGACTTCTTCGCCACGCTCTGGATCACGCCCAGACTCTCGTCAATGCCCTTTATGGCATCGACGGCGGAACGAGGCATGGGGACACAAGTGCCCATTATGTCCCCCTCGTCCCATGCGAGCGACGCCACAGAGGAAGGCCGTGTAGATCGGGCCTCCGAGACAGAGGCCGCTAACTCAGCCTCCGCCTGGAGCCGGATCTCCTCCCTCTTGGCCTTATTCAGGGCCTTTTTGGCGGCCGCCAACCCGACGTACTCGCCAGTGGTTGGCGGGCGGCCCCTGGGTCGCTTCTCGGCGGACCCTTTCCTCGCCACAGAGAGAGGGGTGTCTGTGGAAGACCCCTCTTCTGGCGATTTCTCTCCCTCTTTGGGTCGTTTCCGCTTCTGGCGCCAGAAGCGGCTCGACTCCAGGTCTCCGACCGGAGGGACTGAGCCAGCGGACGACACGCTGACTAAGTCCGAATCCGAGTCGGACAGATTTAACGAGGCCCTGGAGGACCTCGTACTACGGCTAGCCCTAGCCAAGGCTGACGCCGACAATCTTGTCAACGCCACCCTCAGCGCTCGCCCTTCCTCTATTTCTCCTCTCCTTTCTTCCTCCTCCTTCTTCTTACTATTAGTTTTTGTTTTTGTTTGTTGATCTTCTCCTTCCATTAACTTCTATTTCATTAAACAAATGTTGCGCCTCGCTACAAGGCGCAACGGCATTTCTTTTGCTCTAAGGGAAATGCTAAGTCCACCCGGGCAGAGCCCTGTACCCGGGTAACCCTAATACAACTGGCGGTCGGGCGGTCGCCAGAGGTTGGCCGCTAGCTGGCCCGGTTACTGCCGGACCACCCACTCACCCTGCGGGCAAGCGGGGGCGCAGTGCCGCGCAGAGGTCCGAAGACGCCCCAACACCACGCAAAATTCAGGGTTTTTTCTGAGGTTTTCCTTCCTCTTGGGCCGGCCGATTAAGGCAAGCCCCCTGGTCCCAGGTGCGCCGCGAGACATGATCCACGACACGCACCCGGGGAAACAGGTTTGCCCGACGGAGGGCCGAAACCCCTAACCAGGCGCAGCACATCGCCACGCCCGGCCCGCCGCGCCGCGGTCCACCACCACCGCCGTCCGTGGTGACTCCACCACCATCCTGCGCCATGAAGGCCACTGGTCTCAACAGACCCCAACAACCGTGCTCGGAGGCACGCTCGCAGCGCTCTGAGGTGAGCGCTGCGTCTCCGTGATCGGTCTCCGCGTCGTCTTCGGAGACCGACCGATGGATCCAATTAGCTTCGTCGTGCAATAGTGGCCAGAATCGGCAGACCCACAGACAGTCTGTTGCCGATTAGGCACCTGGCCACTATAATAAGCACCGACTACTGAGCCCCCCCCGCCGCGACAAGGCCTGGATCATGGGGGGGGAACCTAACCTAACTTTTTTTTTTTTTTTTTTTTTTTTTTTTTTTTTTTTTTTGTGGAGGAATCGAGTCTTTACCGACGCCCCCGCCGGGCCAAGTGCAATGGCGGGGGGAGTGTGGGGGTCAACCGCGAGTCGGCCACTACCCACTAAACCATCCAAGAGCCCATTCGTCACTGCACTGTTCGGACAAGGGGCTGGTATCAGCTAGGCCTTTAAACCCAGCCCCGTGCCGAGGGCAGCCGTCACGCAGCTTTCGCGCGTCTCGCCTTCTTGGCTCTCTCCTGCCTATGTTTCCATAGGGGCCCCTGTTGGAGGGGCCTTGGCCCCTTTCTTGGGGTCCATTCTCCGTGCCCTTTTGGGTGGAGCTCTGCACTTCGCACCGCCCAACTTGTGCTTCGCATCCTTTCCGGCTGCCGCGCATATAGCGCAATGTGGCTCAGCCGTGCACGACGCGGCGACATGATCCGGCTGGCTACATCGGTAGCACAGCCGACTTCGGTCACACTCTGTGACGCAGCGGCTCGCAACATGGCCGCTCTCCAGGCATTTGTAGCAGCGGAGGCCGCGGGGTTTACCCACCATCACTCGCGCCACCACCCATCCGACGAGGAACCTTCCTGTGGCCAGCTTCTTGGCCGCCTCGATAGGGACCCGAGCCCAGTATGAGAACAGGCCCGATCGTTCTTCCCTCTTCTTACTGACCCGAACTTCATTCGGGTGGCACTCTCCTTTTTCTGCGATTGCGGCCATGAGTTCGCACTCGCCGACCGACTCGTCTATGCCGGAGATGCGGATGTCAGCGGTCTTCTTTGGCCGCGTCACCCGTATGCTTCCCTCGCCGATGACCGACTTTAACTTCTCAGCTAAGGCGTCGGCCTTGGGACCACTGTTTGCTCCGGGGAGCTCTAAGACAGCGGCCCCCGTTGCCGCCTTGCGGAACTTGATCGCATCAATGTCCGCCACTTCCTTGAGGTTGATCTTCGCCCTCGCGATCATCAGTACCTTACTGTAGGTCGTTTTCTCCTTACCCTCATCGGTGAGGGTGATCACAACGGCCGACGACCGAGGCATTCTAAGCTTCGGCTTCGGCTTCGACTTGGCCTGGGGACTCTTCTTTGGCTTTGGAGCCGGCCCCGTTCTTGGCTGCGTCTTATCCTCCTTCTTCTTTTTCTTCTTTGCCACCGTGACCCAGTTCTCCTCCAGAGTATCCGGGTTGAGTGGCCGAGAAGGTCCGTCCATCTTCTTCTCCTTTCCTCTTCTTGTGTCCTTTCCTGAACTAGAATCGACGGCAGTCACCACGGGAGCTACGGGGGTGACAACCGCCGGAAGGACAGGTGAGTTTCTTATCACCTTCTTTCCTCTCTTCGCCGTGTCCGCTGCCAAGGGAGGCCTCAGTAGCGGCGCAGGATTTAGCCGTGGCTCCAGTCCTTCTATTCGGGCATTTATCCTGTCTCCAAGTTTGAGCAAGAGACTCGCCTCCAGCTCTTGCATGTTGGGGAGCCCCGAAGACTTCTGCAGCTCATCCACCTTCCTCGTGAGCTCCTCTAACCTCTGTCTCAGTTGCTGGTTCTCGGCGCTCAGGACTCTCGTCTCCTCACTAATGGTTCTCTGGATGAGAACCTGCGAGTTGTCCCTAATCGCCGAGACCGCTTTCTTCAATGCGTAGACGAAAGTTCCTTTGAGATTTCCAGATCTCTTCGCCACGCCTTCTATCACCTGTAAGCTCGCCTCAATGCCCCTGCGAGCATCCAAGGCCGAGCGACTAGCCGGGTCACCGGTGTCCACGATGTCCGCCTCATCCCATTGCATCGAAGACACCGACGATGCACGCGTTGACCTCAGCTCCGATGCGGAAGCCGCAAGTTCGGCCTCAGCCTGGAGCCTTATCTCTTCTCTTCTAGCCTTCACTAAGGCCTGCTTCGCCGCAGCCAGTCCAATGTAGTCACCGGTTGTCGGTGGGCGCCCTCTTCCTCTCGGCTTAGACGATTCTGGCGCCTCACTTCCACTCCCGCTGGAAGCACCAGACCGACTTCGCTTTCGCGCCTTCTGCGGACCGCGGAAGCGCTTCACACCTCTTGTGTCGCTACTCGACACCGTCTCCATAGACCCTACGGACGAGTCCGAGAGCCCTTCATACTCCTCCTCTATGGCCGCATAAGATCGAGCGGCGGCCGCTACAGAGGGACTTGGTGAAGCGCATAAGCGCTCCAACACCACTCTTGCGTCTGACATTCTCCTCTCTCTACCATGGGGGTTGCCGGCCTCCAGAGTACGATCCGGCTTAACCGCCGCCCCTTCACCATTGCTGGATCCAAAGCGACGGGTGGGATTTGACCCACCTGGAGTAGATTTATACTGCGTAGAATCCTCCATGTTGTTTTGTTGTTTAGTGCCTTAGGGGCTGGACTCCCACCAGCCATTCATCCCCTCGCCAGGCACCACAGACTTAGGATTGGGGGTGCGCTGCCTATGTCAGCGCACCTCGTGGACAACTAGCCCGCCATACTCCGTGCCGAAGCACCGCTCTCGGTTCAAAACCGCCTAGCAGCGGCAGAGAACCGATCTCCGCCTTAAAACTATATAAAAATATTTACAAAAGAAATAAAAATATATACATGGGTGAGAAGCACCCACTCCTAAAACACTATATACAAAAATAATATGTGCAAAAACTTACCTAGTTCTTCCGCTTTTTGTTTATCGCGGTCTGAAGGATCGCGATAAACAAAAACTTCGTCTTCCCCACCCACCACGAAAACGTGGTTGGCAAGGAACGCCGAAGATGTAGCAAGCCATACAGAGCAATATACAATATTGCAGAGTATCGCCCGCCTCCCAGTTAGCGACCACCGAGTATGCAGGATACGCACCGGTCATCACAAAGTTAACAAACTTTGCCATAGCCGATACCACCCTAACTCAGATGGCCGGGCCCTTCCGGCACGACAAGCCCTGGGGCTGCACGAGATACTCAAAGTGCAGTGGAAGGGGGGGGGGGGGAACCTAACCTAACCTAACCTAACCTAACCTAACCTAACCTAACCTAACCTAACCTAACCTAACCTAACCTTTTTTTTTTTTTTTTTTTTTTTTTTACTTGGAGGAATCGACTCTTTACCGACGCCCCCGCCTGGCCACATCGAGTGGCGGGGGGAGTGTGGGGGTCGGCCAGCTTGACCACTACCCACTAAACCTCCAAGAGCCCACGGGAGACTTGCCGGACGCGAGCGAGCGGTTAGTTGCCCTTGACCCGCATGCCCGCGCCCGTGTGTCCTGCCGCGCGTGTTTCCCGCGCGCGGCTCGCCCTACGTGGCCGGTTGATGGCCACGTCTCCTGGCTCGGTCCTAAGACCGAGGTCACGGCTGGCGCGGGGCGTAATCGCGCCGGCGCCGCCCAAGTCTCCTCCGTCGGAGTGCGGGGGCGTCGGGAGCAATCTCCCTCGCCCTCTCTGCTTCCTCCTTTTGCGAGAGGACGTCGGCGCAGAAGGCCTCAAAGGCCCGCCACGGAGCGTCATCCGCACTCCTAACTATCCCTGCCACAATGGCTGGCAGGGACAGATCCGCGCCGAATGCTCCGGCCAGGGCAGTCCTCTGACTTGCCCAGGCCGGGCATGCCTCCAAGGTGTGTTGCGCCGTGTCTGAGGCGCATCCGCAGTGATGGCAGGAGACTGTTTCCTCCCGCCGGATCCCGTGCAGGTATTTGCCGAAGCACCCGTGCCCCGACAAAATCTGCACCGCGTGGTAGGACAGGGATCCCCACCGCTTCGTCCTCAGCCACTCGGGCAGGACGGGCGCGATCGCTCGAAGCGTATGCGCGCCTACCCGGGAGGTGGCAAGATGCTCTTGCCACCGCGCAACAACAGCCCTTTGGCCGTCCTCCCTCCAATCCTTGAGGAGCTCGTAAGTGAGCTCCTCGCCTCGACTCCGGACTTCAGCCCGGCGCCAGTAAATGTCGGCTAAGGCAGCCGCCTCCAGGTGCCAGGGTGCGAGCCCGGCTATTGCGCACACCGCGTCATAGGACACGGTGCGGTACGCCCTCGCCACCCTGAGCGCCATCACCCGCTGCGACTGCCTCAGCAGCGCAAGGTTCTGCGCCGACAAATCCTGGGCCCATATGGGGCAGCCATAGAGCGCCTTGGAGCGCACGACGCCGGCGTACAAGCGGCGACACCCCTCGCTCGAGCCGCCAAGATTCGGCATTATTCGGCACAAAGCCGATGCCGTGGCGGCGAGCTTCGGGGCAAGTGCCGCGAAGTGCGCCTTGAAGGACCACCGAGAGTCGAGGACCAACCCCAAATACTTTAGGGTGGACCCTATCCCGATGGCCTCTCCGCCGACGATGATGTGCGCCCCGCTCGGCGGCGCTCTCCTGGGACCGTGGAATGCGATCGCCTCTGATTTGTTCAGGGCGACTCGCAGGCCAATCCTCTGGATCCGCGCCACGACCTGTGCCACCCCGGCCGTGGCGCGAAGCTTGGCCTCGCGGAAATCGTCGCCCCTCGCAACCACCAGGGTGTCATCCGCGTAGCAGATGACGCTGACACCCCGGATGAGAGAGCAACGCAGGACCCCGTCATAGCCGATGTTCCACAGGAGTGGACCTAACACCGACCCCTGCGGCACACCGCAGCTGACGGGGTGGGAACCCCATCCTTGCCTCCTGGGGAACGTGATGCGTCTCGCCGTGAGATACGACGCAATCACGTCGCGAAGATAGACAGGCACGCCATGATAGCGAAGCCCATCCATAATCGCTTCCCAGGGCAGGGTGTTGAACGCGTTGGCAATGTCAAGCGACACCGCCAAAACAACCCCGCCCTCCGCCACAGTCCCGTCCGACACATCGCGCAATCTCGCGATCGCGTCGATTGTCGACCGCCCCTTCCGAAAGCCAAACTGGCAATCGGACAGGTCTGGCCCCTCCAGAGCCAAGTGCTGCTGGATGCGGGTCGCTACTATACGCTCGAAGAGCTTACCCGCTTCGTCCAGCAGCACGATCGGCCGATACGCCGAAGGCAAGTCCGGCGGTTTGCCAGGCTTCTGGAGAAGAACCAGCCTTCCCTCCTTCCACAAGTCCGGGAAGACGCGGTTCCGCAGACAAGCCGACAACAGCTTGCGGAACCGCTCGTCGAGGCCGGATTGCAAGGCAAGAGACAGAACCTTCCCGTGCACCCCATCAGGGCCGGGGGCCGTCCTCTTGCCTCGCGTCCTATCCAAGGCCGAGCTGAGCTCGGCCGATGTCACGTCCGGGACCCCCGCGTCCGGGGGAGGGGACGTCGACTGGGAGGGAAGCGAAGCATCCGCATGGGGAAACAAGGCCGACACGACTGAGTTCAGAAGTGCCGGCTCCATGCTGGATGTAAGGGGTGGGGCCCAGGGGCGCAGCTTGCTCATTACGAGCTTGTACGGCCGCCCCCATGGGTCGAGCTCCAAGGTGTTCAGGAGCTCCTCCCACGCCCTTTCCTTCGCCTCCGCGATCTTCATCCTGAGGGCCTTCTTTGCCTCCTGATAGAGGCAATAGAGGCGCCCTTCCTCTTCGGTGTTCCGCGAGGCACGCCGTCTCCTCCTGTACCTGGTGTACTGGCGTCGGGTCACCACACAAGTCGACCGAAGAGCGGCCAACTCCTCCGACCACCAGTACACCTGCCTACGCGGCGGAAGAGGTCGGGACCGAGCCATTGAAGCGTCACAGATACGCTCCAAGGCCGCCCCGAACCACTCCACCTCCTCCCTCACCGAAGAGGACTCCGGCTCTGGACACCAGGTGGCCACTATCGAGGCCACCTCCACCATCTCCCTGTCCAGGGACTTCAGGGCCCAACGAGGGCCCTTCTGCGCCGGAGGGGCGCCAGGCCCGATCGCCGTGGATTGAGAGGAGACACTGAACCGTATGTAACGGTGATCAGACAGCGTCTCCTCCCCGTCCAACACCTCCCAGTCGACGATGCGGCGCGCAAGCCCGGGGCTGGCAAAGGTAAGGTCCACTATGGACCCCCCCTGCATTCGGACGCACGTCTGCGTCGAGCCCCGGTTCACGAGCGCCAGGTTGTGCGCGGCCATCCACTCGACGAGGACGTCGCCACGAATATCTGAGGTTGGGGAACCCCAAACTGCCGACTTGGCATTGAAGTCCCCCGCCACTACCACCTCATTCGGGCGACCCCACGACACGAGGGCGTCTACTTCCGCCAGGAACTCCTCGAACTCCGACAGAGTCCTGTTGGGCGAGAAGTAGACCCCGACAACCACCACGTTGCCGCACTTCGCCGCGACACAACCCTGGCCTCTCCGTGAAGAGACAATTGGGGGAGAGCCAACGGCTCCGGTGACGACTATGGCGACAGTCTCGCCAAAGTCCCCGACCCAATTGTCCCCTTGCTGCACCGCATACGGCTCCGCAAGCACCGCAATGTTAATGGACCACTGCGCCAGGCCCTGGAATAGGAGATCCTGGGCCCTGGCGCAATGGTTCAGGTTCGCCTGGAGGAACCGTAGGGCCATACTAGGCCCCTACGGTCTCGGCAACCTCCATTGCGGTCCCGCTCGGAGGGACGGCGGCCCGCTTCTCCGGGACTCTCCGCCGCATCTTTTTGGTGGGGGCCGAGCACTTGGCACCACCCACCCGATGGGTTGCCTCCTTGCCGGCCGCCGCGCAAACCGCGCAATGCGGACTGGCCGTACAAGAGGCCGCCAAGTGCCCGGGCTGACCGCATCTGTAGCAGAGACCGCTACGATCGCTCGCGCAATCGCAACGGCTTGCCACGTGGCCAGCCTCCAGGCATCGGTAGCAACGCAGTGCCCGGGGTTTTCCCAGAGTCACCCGCGCCGCCACCCATCCCACCAAAAATCGACCCTCCAGGAGCCGTTTCGCAGAGACCACAGGGACATGCGCCCAAACTGCGCCAAGTCCCGTGCGGTCCCGCCTCACGTCTCCGACCCTCACTTGCCAGAGAGGGCACTCGCCCTTTTTCACGATGGCATCGGCCACCTCCTCCTTCGAGACGGAGTCGTCAAGGCCCGAAATTCGGACGTCGACGGCCTTTTGTGGCCGCGACACCTTGACGGCTTCGCCGTCCAAGACCTCCCCGAGCTTCTTCGCGAGAGCGTCGGCCTTGGGGCCGCTCGCGGCTCCGGGGAGTTGTAGGATGGTGGCTCCGGTGGCCGCCTTCCTCACCCTGATGCCATCGAGGCCTGTGACCTCCTTGAGGTCCAGCCTCTCTCTGGCCTTCCTCAGGACCTCACTGTACGAAAGCCCCGCTTTCGTTGCGTCCTCGGTGATGGTCAAAACCACCGCCGAAGACCGAGGCGCCCTGAGTTTCGGCTTTTTCGCCGTTTGAGGGCCGGATGACTTTGCAGGCCCTTTGCCTGCACGCGGTCGTGCCTGCTTTTTCGGAGCCTGACCACCCGCCCTGGATTGGGCAGGCAGACTCCGGGGCTCCTTCTTCCGGGACGTGCGTCCCTTTTTGACCACCGTGACCCAGTTCCCCTCAAGGGAGTCCGGGTTCGGCGGCCTCGATGGTTCAGGGGGAGGTGCCACTGCCTCACCCCTAACCGGAGCCCTCTTCCTCTGCTTCTGCGGCCCCTTCTTCGCTGAAGGGGCGGCAGGTTTGGCGGCTGCTTTGTCAACCGCCAATGGCGGCCGGAGTCGGGGAGCAGGGTTCAGTCGAGGCTCTAAGCCCTCGAACCTGGCGTTCACCCTGTCCCCAATCTTCCGCAGCAACCCTGCCTCGAACTCCTCCAAGCTAGTGGGGAGTTGGGAGGATCGCTGCAGATCCTCCACCCGCCGAGTCAGCTCCTCCATCCTTTCGCGGAGCTTTTGGTTCTCCGCTTGGAGGACCTTTGTCTCCTCAGAGACAGTCCTCTGGATGAGGAGAGCAGAGTTCTCCCTAATTGACGCGACCGCGTCATTGAGGGCGCGGACGAAGGTCCCCTTCAAACTCCCGGACTTCTTCGCCACGCTCTGGATCACGCCCAGACTCTCGTCAATGCCCTTTATGGCATCGACGGCGGAACGAGGCATGGGGACACAAGTGCCCATTATGTCCCCCTCGTCCCATGCGAGCGACGCCACAGAGGAAGGCCGTGTAGATCGGGCCTCCGAGACAGAGGCCGCTAACTCAGCCTCCGCCTGGAGCCGGATCTCCTCCCTCTTGGCCTTATTCAGGGCCTTTTTGGCGGCCGCCAACCCGACGTACTCGCCAGTGGTTGGCGGGCGGCCCCTAGGTCGCTTCTCGGCGGACCCTTTCCTCGCCACAGAGAGAGGGGTGTCTGTGGAAGACCCCTCTTCTGGCGATTTCTCTCCCTCTTTGGGTCGTTTCCGCTTCTGGCGCCAGAAGCGGCTCGACTCCAGGTCTCCGACCGGAGGGACTGAGCCAGCGGACGACACGCTGACTAAGTCCGAATCCGAGTCGGACATATTTAACGAGGCCCTGGAGGACCTCGTACTACGGCTAGCCCTAGCCAAGGCTGACGCCGACAATCTTGTCAACGCCACCCTCAGCGCTCGCCCTTCCTCTATTTCTCCTCTCCTTTCTTCCTCCTCCTTCTTCTTACTATTAGTTTTTGTTTTTGTTTGTTGATCTTCTCCTTCCATTAACTTCTATTTCATTAAACAAATGTTGCGCCTCGCTACAAGGCGCAACGGCATTTCTTTTGCTCTAAGGGAAATGCTAAGTCCACCCGGGCAGAGCCCTGTACCCGGGTAACCCTAATACAACTGGCGGTCGGGCGGTCGCCAGAGGTTGGCCGCTAGCTGGCCCGGTTACTGCCGGACCACCCACTCACCCTGCGGGCAAGCGGGGGCGCAGTGCCGCGCAGAGGTCCGAAGACGCCCCAACACCACGCAAAATTCAGGGTTTTTTCTGAGGTTTTCCTTCCTCTTGGGCCGGCCGATTAAGGCAAGCCCCCTGGTCCCAGGTGCGCCGCGAGACATGATCCACGACACGCACCCGGGGAAACAGGTTTGCCCGACGGAGGGCCGAAACCCCTAACCAGGCGCAGCACGTCGCCACGCCCGGCCCGCCGCGCCGCGGTCCACCACCACCGCCGTCCGTGGTGACTCCACCACCATCCTGCGCCATGAAGGCCACTGGTCTCAACAGACCCCAACAACCGTGCTCGGAGGCACGCTCGCAGCGCTCTGAGGTGAGCGCTGCGTCTCCGTGATCGGTCTCCGCGTCGTCTTCGGAGACCGACCGATGGATCCAATTAGCTTCGTCGTGCAATAGTGGCCAGAATCGGCAGACCCACAGACAGTCTGTTGCCGATTAGGCACCTGGCCACTATAAAAGCACCGACTACTGAGCCCCCCCGCCGCGACAAGGCCTGGATCATGGGGGGGAACCTAACCTAACCTTTTTTTTTTTTTTTTTTTTACTTGGAGGAATCGAGTCTTTACCGACCCCCCCGCCGGGCAGTGCAATGGCGGGGGGAGTGTGGGGGTCAACCGCGAGTCGGCCACTACCCACTAAACCATCCAAGAGCCCATCAACACACTGTTTGGCAAGGGGTTGGCGATCAGTTGAAACCTTGTCCAGACCCCCTTTTTGCCAAGTGCTTTGCCGCAGCGCATAGCGCGCAGCTCACCTTCTTGACCTACTTACTACGAATATATTTACAAAATGTACAAATGAGATATGTACAATTTAAACAAACTATTTACAATAAGGAACACAAACTTACGGAGCACGCACGAAGTCGCGCCTGCGCCTGCCTGTTCTTCTTCTTCTCATCTGAGGGGCCCCAGGATCTATTTCCCGAGCCCGCTCTGCCTCTTCTTTTGAACCTAAAACAAACTGACAGAATACCTGGATAGCCTGCCATTTCGCTTCATCAGAGAGGATGCTCCTGACGAATAGGGTCAAATTGAGGGCGCCACTTCCGTGATTGTCAAGTCCGGTAAGCCGCAGCATGGTATCCCTATGGTCATTCCACGCCGGGCAGTCGAATAGGGTGTGCTGTGGTGTGTCGTTGACACATCCGCAGTGATGGCAGGTGGGGGTGGGCTCTCTGCGGGCAATCTTGTGAAGATAGGAGCCGAAGCATCCGTGCCCGGTGAGCCCTTGCGTCAGATGGTAGGACAGAGTCCCCCACCGCCTTTCAGTCCATTCTTTGAACACTGGCATGATAGCATCTAGTGTCCATCTTCCATAGCGAGCGCCAGCGAGTTCTTCGCGCCATCTGTTTAGTATGGCCTCACGGCCTTCTGTGCGCCACGATTCCATCTCTTCATAGGTCGGCTCGTGTCCCGATTTTCTGGAACGATCCCTCTTCCAATAGATGTCCGCCAGAGCAGCCGCCTCAATATGCCACGGTGGTGTATTCGCTAAAAGACACACCGCATCTAGTGACGCTGTTCTATAGGCCCGCGCGATACCAATACCGACAATGCGCTGTGACCTCCGAAGTACTGCTCTATTGAGATTGCAAAGGTCCCCTGACCATATTGGACAACCATATAGGGCCTGAGACCTCACAACGCCAGCAAACAACTTGCGACTGCTAGACTTAGGTCCTCCGACGTTGGGCATAAGTCTGCTGAGTGCCGCAGCAGTCATAGTCAGCTTCGAAGATAGAGCCGAAAAGTGTGCTTTGAAGCTCCACCGAGAGTCCAAGATAAGGCCCAGATACTTGATCCTATTCCCGACCCCGATGGGAACTCCTCCGACCACAATTTGAGAGCCAGATGGTGAGGCTCTCCTCGAGCCGTGAAACATGATGGCTTCGGACTTCTCCAAGGCCTAATCTTCTTATTTTGGCCACAGCTTGGGCCACGCCGGCCGTAGCCTTCACCAACACGTCACGGTAATCGCGGCCCTTCGTCACCACCAGCGTATCATCCGCGTAACAAATAACGCTCACTCCATGCAACAACGCACCTCTCAGTACGACGTCATATCCGAGGTTCCAAAGAAGTGGCCCTAAGACCGACCCCTGAGGAACCCCCTTTTCCACGGTATGTTCTTGCCATCCGTCTCTTGAAGGGTAGACTATAGTCCTGTTTTGAAGATAGGATGCAATCGTCGTCGTCAAGTATAAGGGCACTTGGTGTTGTTCAAGCCCTTTCATAATGGCGTTCCAGGGCAGAGTGTTGAACGCATTCTTAATATCTAATGACACCGCCAAAACAACTCCACCCTGTGACGTTGTCTCCTCCGAGATGTCCCTGAGACGAGCAATTGCGTCGACTGTTGACCGTCTCTGCCGGAAACCAAACTGATTGTCCGACAGATCCGGCCCGACTGTTGTTAAATGTCGTACCACTCTATTAGCGACAACGCGTTCGAACAGCTTGCCTGCCTCGTTTAATAATACAATTGGCCTATAAGCAGATGGCGACTCCACTGGCTTTCCCGGTTTCCGCAAGAGAACCAATTTCCCCTTTTTCCAAGCTTCAGGGAAGCAAGTATTCCGTAGACAAGATGTCAGTAGTCTGCGGAAGCGCTCTTTTAGGCCGAATTGCAATGCAAGGGCCCAGGCCTTTCCATGGAGGCCGTCGGGTCCCGGAGCAGTTCTTTTGCACTGCATTTTCTGAACGGCTGCTTCTAGCTCCGCCTCCGTCACGTCTGGGATAGTCAAATCCGAAGAATGATGTTCAACTCGATATTGCTCTTCGTTTGAGCTGTTAGATGGAAATAAGGCCGCCACAACTGTTCTCAAAAGTGACGGTTCCATTCCGCTGGTGATAGGAGGTGCCCAGGGACGCAACCTGTTCATAACAAGTTTATAAGGACGTCCCCAGGGATCTTGTTCGAGCGAATCGAGTAGCTCCTCCCACGCCCTTTGCTTCGACTCTGCAATTTTCAGGCGCAGCACCTTCTTGGCCTCTTGATACGCCGCGTAGATGTCAGCCTCCTCAGCCGAGTCTCCATTGCCTCGACGCCTTCTTCTAAAGCGAGTGTAGTGTCGACGTTTTTTCACACAATCACTGCGCAAACGCCCGATTTCAGCCGACCACCAGTATACCTGATCTTTGCCGGGTTGAACTCTGATCCGAGGCATAGCTGAGTCCGAAATATGGGCCAACTCCTGACCGAACCATTCAGCTCCCTCTTCCGGATGTTCTTCGTCTGGGATGGGACACCAGCTAGAAATCAGGGCAGCCAACTCCAAGTCATCCCTATTCAGGGCTTTGATAGCCCATTTTGGGCCGATTTCACTTAAAGACGAGCGTTGTCTAAGGGGAGCCGACGGGGTGGAAACACTGAATCGGATGTACCGATGATCAGACAGGGTCTCCTCCCCCGTCAACACCCTCCAGTCTTGAACGCGTCGAACAATAGAGAGGCTCGCAAAAGACAAGTCTATTATCGAGCCACCCTGCATTCTCACACATGTCTGCACCGTTCCACTATTCAGTAGTACCAGGTCATGTTCAACTGCCCACTCCATGACAATTTCTCCTCGCGCATCAGTGGACGGAGAACCCCAAGCCGTTGACTTTGCGTTGAAGTCCCCCGCGACGATAATATTGCACGGTCTGCTACTCCGAATGAGGGCACCCACTTCCGCCAAGTGTACCTCGAACTCTGCCACTGAACGATTTGGTGAAAAGTAGGACGCCACGACCACGATATTACCTACTTTAAGGGCGACACATCCGTCTTTCTTCTTCGAGGGACCGATTGGGGGCAGGTCGCTGGTGTTTCTCACGACGATAGCTACTGTGCCATCATTGCTGCCGACCCAATCTTCCCTATCTAGAACCCTGTACGGTTCACAGACGACTCCTATGTTGATAGACCACTGCGCCAGACTCTGAGCTAAAAGATCTTGGGCTCTGACGCAGTGATTTATGTTCGCCTGTAGAATCTTGAGGCCCGAACTAATTGTTGACGGCATCGCTTGTCTCCATGGCCACCCCGCTCGGTTGGGTGTCATCCCTGATGTTCGGGACTCTTCTTCTTATCTTCTTAGCGGGAGCCGAGCATTTAGCACTACCCACCTGATGGTTGGCGTCTTTGTTCGCTGACGCACAGACAAGGCAGTGCGGTTTGGCCGAACAAGAGGCCGCGATATGTCCAGACTGGCCGCAACGATAGCACGTCCCCCTGCGATCACTCTCGGCGTCGCACCGACTTGCTACGTGGCCTTCTTGCAAACACTTGAAGCAGCGAAGCACTCGAGCTTTAGCTATCGCCACTTTCGCCACCACCCAACCAACCAAGAACCTTCCCACCATTAGCTTCTTAGCCGCCGTTATCGGTACATGGGCCCAGATTGTGCAGAGCCCTGACCTATCCTCGCGTAGCTGTCCTGCTTTTACTAGGGCTGCAGGGCACTCTCCTTTCTTAGCAATGGCCTCGATCACCTCTTCTGGTGTTACTGAGTCATCGAGGCCTGTGATTTTGATGTCCACGGTCTTTACCGGCCGGGACACTTTGATGCCATCCCCTTTTTCCAAGCTTCAGGGAAGCAAGTATTCCGTAGACAAGATGTCAGTAGTCTGCGGAAGCGCTCTTTTAGGCCGAATTGCAATGCAAGGGCCCAGGCCTTTCCATGGAGGCCGTCGGGTCCCGGAGCAGTTCTTTTGCACTGCATTTTCTGAACGGCTGCTTCTAGCTCCGCCTCCGTCACGTCTGGGATAGTCAAATCCGAAGAATGATGTTCAACTCGATATTGCTCTTCGTTTGAGCTGTTAGATGGAAATAAGGCCGCCACAACTGTTCTCAAAAGTGACGGTTCCATTCCGCTGGTGATAGGAGGTGCCCAGGGACGCAACCTGTTCATAACAAGTTTATAAGGACGTCCCCAGGGATCTTGTTCGAGCGAATCGAGTAGCTCCTCCCACGCCCTTTGCTTCGACTCTGCAATTTTCAGGCGCAGCACCTTCTTGGCCTCTTGATACGCCGCGTAGATGTCAGCCTCCTCAGCCGAGTCTCCATTGCCTCGACGCCTTCTTCTAAAGCGAGTGTAGTGTCGACGTTTTTTCACACAATCACTGCGCAAACGCCCGATTTCAGCCGACCACCAGTATACCTGATCTTTGCCGGGTTGAACTCTGATCCGAGGCATAGCTGAGTCCGAAATATGGGCCAACTCCTGACCGAACCATTCAGCTCCCTCTTCCGGATGTTCTTCGTCTGGGATGGGACACCAGCTAGAAATCAGGGCAGCCAACTCCAAGTCATCCCTATTCAGGGCTTTGATAGCCCATTTTGGGCCGATTTCACTTAAAGACGAGCGTTGTCTAAGGGGAGCCGACGGGGTGGAAACACTGAATCGGATGTACCGATGATCAGACAGGGTCTCCTCCCCCGTCAACACCCTCCAGTCTTGAACGCGTCGAACAATAGAGAGGCTCGCAAAAGACAAGTCTATTATCGAGCCACCCTGCATTCTCACACATGTCTGCACCGTTCCACTATTCAGTAGTACCAGGTCATGTTCAACTGCCCACTCCATGACAATTTCTCCTCGCGCATCAGTGGACGGAGAACCCCAAGCCGTTGACTTTGCGTTGAAGTCCCCCGCGACGATAATATTGCACGGTCTGCTACTCCGAATGAGGGCACCCACTTCCGCCAAGTGTACCTCGAACTCTGCCACTGAACGATTTGGTGAAAAGTAGGACGCCACGACCACGATATTACCTACTTTAAGGGCGACACATCCGTCTTTCTTCTTCGAGGGACCGATTGGGGGCAGGTCGCTGGTGTTTCTCACGACGATAGCTACTGTGCCATCATTGCTGCCGACCCAATCTTCCCTATCTAGAACCCTGTACGGTTCACAGACGACTCCTATGTTGATAGACCACTGCGCCAGACTCTGAGCTAAAAGATCTTGGGCTCTGACGCAGTGATTTATGTTCGCCTGTAGAATCTTGAGGCCCGAACTAATTGTTGACGGCATCGCTTGTCTCCATGGCCACCCCGCTCGGTTGGGTGTCATCCCTGATGTTCGGGACTCTTCTTCTTATCTTCTTAGCGGGAGCCGAGCATTTAGCACTACCCACCTGATGGTTGGCGTCTTTGTTCGCTGACGCACAGACAAGGCAGTGCGGTTTGGCCGAACAAGAGGCCGCGATATGTCCAGACTGGCCGCAACGATAGCACGTCCCCCTGCGATCACTCTCGGCGTCGCACCGACTTGCTACGTGGCCTTCTTGCAAACACTTGAAGCAGCGAAGCACTCGAGCTTTAGCTATCGCCACTTTCGCCACCACCCAACCAACCAAGAACCTTCCCACCATTAGCTTCTTAGCCGCCGTTATCGGTACATGGGCCCAGATTGTGCAGAGCCCTGACCTATCCTCGCGTAGCTGTCCTGCTTTTACTAGGGCTGCAGGGCACTCTCCTTTCTTAGCAATGGCCTCGATCACCTCTTCTGGTGTTACTGAGTCATCGAGGCCTGTGATTTTGATGTCCACGGTCTTTACCGGCCGGGACACTTTGATGCCATCTTCCTTAAAGACTTCCTTCAACTTTTCTGCCAGGGCATCGGCCTTCGGCCCACTATTTGCCCCAGGGAGTTGAAGGATCGTCGCTCCCGTTACAGCTTTGCGAAAACGAATCGCCTCAAAGCCTGTAATTTCTTTTAAATCCAGCTTGGTCTTCGCCGTTCTTATGACGTCGCTGTAAGTTAGCCCCTTTTTGGAGGCCTCTTCAGTGACCGTAACCACCACCGCTGAAGTTCTTGGCGTCTTCAGCTTCGGTATAGCCCGTGCCGGAATTGGTGTTTGTGCCTTTCTCGGCTGCGACTGTTTATTCACCTGTTTTGCCGAAGATGTATTCGGCAGAGCGCTACGGGCTTCCGTCTCTCGGAGCGGGCGTCCCTTCCTAACCACCGTGACCCAGTTCTCTTCTAGCGAATCTGGATTGGGCGGGCGGGATAGGGCCCGACTTTGAGACTTGGCAGCGGGAACGGACGAGTGCGCGGGGGCGGTGGGTACCGATTCTCCCGTGTTCTCAACTTTTTCCGACGCCTTTCCCTTCTTCTTCTTCGACTTCTTCTTCTTCCCTGTTTCAGGACCGGGAACTGTTGTCGGAGCCGAAACTGCCATAGGAATAGGTAAACTTTCCTCTATTCTCTCTCCTCCTTTCTTCTTATCCGCCGATAAGGGGGGCCTGATCCGTGGCGCAGGATTAAGTCGGGGTTCAAGCCCCTCAATTCGGGCATTGATCTTGTCCCCCAGCTTACGCATGAGACCAGCCTCGAACTCCTCTAAACTGCCTGGCAGCTGTGGGGCCTTTTGTATCCCCTCCACCTTTTTGCTCAGCTCTTCCAACTCCTTACGAAGACGCTCATTTTCAGCTCTAAGAGCCTTAGTCTCGTCCGATATGGTGCGTCTCACCAGCACTCCGGTACTCTCCCGAACTGTAGCGACGGCGTCTTTCAGGGCGCGAACAAATGTCCCCTTAAGGCTCGAGGAGCGTTTCGCCACGTCTTCTATTATGCCAAGGCTGACATCAATCGACTTCTGCATTTCAAGTGCAGAGCATGGGCCGGAGTCTTGTATTTCCGTTATGTCCCCGTTGTCCCATTCTAAGGAGGCAGGTGTTGTGCTCCTTGTCATTCTTGCCTCTGCAATTGATGCCATAAGCTCGGCCTCCGCCCTAGCTTGCATCTCCTCTTTTTGTGCCTTAGCCAGTTCTTTTTTGGCTGCGGCCAAACCGATATATTCGCCCGTTGTTGGTGGGCGACCTCTCCCTTTTCTTTGAACTGAGGTCGGGGTGTCCGTGGAACTACCCTCCTCGTCCATCTCCTTCTTTCGCTTGCGGCTTCGTTCACGCCAAAAACGACCAGGCCCCGAAACGGGCGAGGACACCTTCGAACGAACACTACTTGATGCAGCGGATGATATGCTGCACATAGAATCCGAGTCCGAATCCGACAGTCTCGAAACCATCGAATGGACCCGTGAGCCGCGAACTTCTCCTTCTGTCACGGGCAGTGGCGTTACAGTCCTCTGCAATACCACCCGCAACTCTTTCTCACCTCCTTCCTTATCTCTTCTACTCCTACTTTCATCTCTAACTCCCTTTCCAACTTCATCATGGGGGTTGCCGGCCTCCAGAATACGTTCCGGCTCAACCGCGGCACCTTCACCATTGCTGGATCCAGTACGGCGGGTGGGATTTGACCCACCTGGAGTAGTTTTATTCAACGTAATTGCCTCCATGTTTTTTCTATGTTTTTTGTTTGGTGCCTTAGGGACTGGACTCCCACCAGCCATTCATCCTATCGCCAGGCACCACAAACTTAGGATTGGGGGCACACAAAGTGTGCCTCGCGAACTACGAGTCCGCCATCCACCGTGCCGAAGCACCACTGGAGAAACGATCTCCGACTTCCAATATATACATGCCCATAAGGGGCAATCGACCAAACACATTATTTACAAAACACAATACAATATACAATAAAAACCGTAAAAGTAAAATGAAAGAAAATAAAATATGTACATGGGTGAGAAGCACCCTCTCCAAAAAACACTATTTACAAAATAAATGTGCAAACACTTACCCTAAAGCTCCTTCCGCCCTGCTCGACCGGTCCCGAAGCAATGTCCAGGGGTCGAGTCCCGCCGCAGGCCCAGGCTCCCGTCCCATTACAGGCTCAGGCTCCCGTTCCGCAGCAGGCCATCCTCTTCATCGGCTGTGCCGACTTGTGGGCGTAAAAGCCGACTTCTCGGTGCGACGACGGGGGGTAACAACCCCTAACCGGAGGCAACAAGCCATTCCCGGCCCGCCGCCGCTGTGTGCATGGCGCAGACGGGAGACGTGAAACGGTCCGACCCTGACGGCGTAGACGTATCATTTGCCGTCGAGGGCCCGCCGCGCCATATCCTCGCACACCCGACCCAGGGCGAAAAGCGCCCCGGGCCCGCGCCATAGGACGCCCTTCCTCGCGCTTCACTGCGCATCGCGGTCTGAAGGACCGCGATAAACAAAACTTCGTCTTCCCCACCCACCACGAAAATCGCGGTTGGCAAGGAACGCCGAAGATGTAGCAAGCCATACAAAGCAATATACTATATTGCAGAGTATCGCCCGCCTCCCAGTTAGCGACCACCGAGTATGCAGGATACGCACCGGTCATCACAAAGTTAACAAACTTTGCCATAGCCGATACCACCCTAACTCAGATGGCCGGGCCCCCCCGGCAACGACAAGCCCTGGGGCTGCACGAGATACTCAAAGTGCAGTGGGGGGGAACCTTTTTTTTTTTTTTTTTTTTTTTTTTTTTTTTACTTGGAGGAATCGAGTCTTTACCGACGCCCCCGCCGGGCCAAGTGCAATGGCGGGGGGAGTGTGGGGGTCAACCGCGAGTCGGCCACTACCCACTAAACCATCCAAGAGCCCGTCTGCCACTGCTCTGTTCGGTCAAGGGGCTGGTATCAGCTAAGCCTTTGCCCAGCCCCGAGCCGAGGGCAGATGTCGCACAGCTTGCGCGCGCGTATCGCCGTCTTGGCCTTCTTCTGCCTATGTTTCCATAGGAGCCCCTGTTGGAGGGGCCTTGGCCCCATTCGTGGGGTCCTTTTTGCGCGCCCTTTTGGGAGGCGCTTTACACTTAGCGCCACCCAACTTATGCTTCGCGTCCTTGCCGGCTGCAGCGCATATTGCGCAATGTGGCTCGGCCGTGCAGGACGCGGCGACATGGTCGGGCTGGCTACATCGGTAGCACAGCCGACTACGGTCACATTCTGTGACACAGCGGCCCGCGATGTGTCCGCTCTCCAAACACTTGTAGCAGCGGAGTGCCCGGGGTTTCGCCACAGTCACCTTCGCCACCACCCATCCAACGAGGAGCTTGCCTTCTGCAAGTTTCTTCGCGACTTCGATCGGAGCCCGCACCCAAACTGAGTACGAACCCCACCTGTCGTCCCTCTTCTGGCCAATCTTCACGTCGTTGAATTGGCATCCTCCTTTTTTGGCCACTGCATCTTGCAGTTCCAATTCGCCGACCGACTCGTCGATTCCTGAGATCCTGATGTCTACAGTCTTCGCGGGCCGCGTCACCTTCATCTTTCCGCCGAACAAGGTCCCCAGCTTTTCAGCCAGGGCATCGGCTTTCGAGCCGCTGTTCGCCCCAGGGAGCTCCAGAACTGTGGCCCCCGTTGCCGCCTTGCGGACTCTGAGGGTCTCAAGACCCGTTATCTCCTTCAGATCTATCTTAGACCTCGCGATGAGCAGGGCCTTCTGATACGTCAGCATCGCCTTCTCCTTTCCCTCGTCCGTGAGGGTGAGGACTATGGCCGACGACCGGGGAGTCCTGAGCTTCGGCTTTGCCTTAGCCTTGGGACTTTTCTTGGCTTTGGTTGCCTTCCCCGGTTGCGGTTGCGGATGCGACTTCTCCTTTGACTTCTTCCTTTTGACCACCGTGGCCCAGGTTTCCTCTAGAGAGTCTGGGTTCGGCGGCCTTGGATCCTCCTTGTCCTTTGCCTTCTTGGCTTTTTTCTTCTGCTCAGGTAGAGGTGCCACAACAGTCGCTACGGAAGTAGCAGGTGTCACCGTCTCCTTTTCCTTTCTTCTTCTGTCTGCCGCCAACGGGGGCCGAAGCAACGGCGCTGGGTTGAGCCGGGGCTCTAATCCCTCGATGCGGGCATTCATCTTGTCCCCCAGCTTTCGCAGGAGACTAGCCTCCAACTCCTCCATGTTTGGGGATCCAGAAGACTTCTGAAGGTTCTCCACCTTCCGGGTAAGCTCTTCTAGCTTCTCTCTTAGGCGCTGGTTCTCGGCGCTCAGGACCCTCGTCTCCTCGCAGACAGTTCTCTGTATGAGAACCATCGAGTTGTCCCTAATCGCCGAGACCGCATCATTCAGGGCGCGGACGAAGGTGCCCTTCAGGTTTCCGGACCCCTTTGCCACGCTCTCTATTACTCCCAGGCTGGCTTCAATGCCTCTCTTGGCGTCCAAGGCAGAACGGGGCGTCGAGCCACTGAGGCCCGCAACGTCTCCCTCGTCCCATTGCATCGACGACACGGATGATGCGCGCGTCGATCTCATTTCCGATGCAGAGGCCATGAGCTCCGCTTCCGCCTGGAGCTTCATTTCTTCCCTCTTGGCCCTCACTAAGGCCTGCTTCGCCGCTGCCAGTCCGACGTATTCGCCGGTTGTCAGTGGGCGACCTCTTCTTCTTGGCTTCGACGAATCTGGCGCCTCGCTCCCACTACCACTCGATGCACCAGATCGACTCCGCTTTCGCGCTGACCTCGGTCCGAAGTAGCGCCTCTTCCCCGCCGTGTCGCAACTCGACACTGTCTCCATAGACCCTTCAGACGAGTCCGAGAGCCTACCATACTCCTCCTCAATGGCCGCACAAGATCGAGCGGCGGCCGCTACGGATGAACTTGGTGAAGAGCAAAGACGCTCCAACACCACTTTCGCATCCGAATATCTCCACTCTCTACCATGGGGGTTGCCGGCCTCCAGAATACGATCCGGCTTAACCGCCGCCCCTTCACCATTGCTGGATCCAGAGCGACGGGTGGGATTTGACCCACCTGGAGTAGATTTACTTTTCGTAGGTGCCTCCATGTTGTTTTTTGTTGTTTGGTGCCTTAGGGGCTGGACTCCCACCAGCCATTCATCCCCTCGCCAGGCACCACAGACTTAGGATTGGGGGTGCGCTGCCTATGTCAGCGCACCTCGCGGACAACTAGCCCGCCATCCTCCGTGCCAAAGCACCACTTTCGGTTCGCAACCGCCTAGCAGCGGCAGAGAACCGATCTCCGCCTTAAACTATATAAAATATTTACAAAGAAATGAAAATATATACAGGGGTGAGAAGCACCCTCTTCTAAAATAATATTTACAAAAATAAAATAATCTGTGCAATGACTTACCCGCAAGCTCTTCCTCCCTGCTCGACAGGTCCCGGAGCAAAGTCCAGGGGTCGAGTCCCGCCGCAGGCCCAGGCTCCCGTCCCATAACAGGCTCAGGCTCCCGTTCCGCAGCAGGTCATCCTCTTCATCGGCTGTGCCGACTTGTGGGCGTAAAAGCCGACTTCTCGGTGCGACGACGGGGGGTAACAACCCCTAACCGGAGGCTATGAGCCATT